GTATTATTTAGTTTGTGTCAATGCTGTGGAACTGTGGTAAAACAACATGTGATTTGATTCCAGCCAGCTCACCCATAAAAATCATCAATCAGCCCATGCTGTTGTTCATAGAGGGGCACCTATGTGGCTGGGTTGGATTAGATGAACGTTAGCGTCAGGTTTAAACTACAAGGAGAACAATTTAATGGAGACAGATTTAAAACATGGAGCTTTGTCATTATGGGGAAAGAAAGAAGCAGTGAGAGCTGCTGTGATTTCAGCTTCTTCAATAACTCTTGTTTACGAATGAGAAGAAATAGAAGAATCCAGCCTAAGGTAATAGTGGTTGGCATTTGTTTTTATTTTTGATGTACAAATGTTCGTATTAGATTATGACATACTTGTTGTGAGGAATGTAAAATAGCTGTTAGAAAACAGAAAAAAGACAGTTTGATCAGTTGTACCATCCACCATCAATTCCATATGATATTTTTAATGGATTAATCATCATTTAATTTTTTTGGAGAAGGGAATTAAGATGACAATTTTTAATGAAAACATTAACATTATTAATGCTGCAAAGTTAAGAACTGTTCAAATTTTTAAGTTACAGGAATATCTTAGAGGTTTCTGCATAAATGGTGAGCAGATGATTAATTTGTAGAATCCCAGAGTACCTAGGGTTCTGCAAAAGATTTTTGATTGACCTTTTGGTTTACATGAGAGGCTTTGTGGTTTATTAAAATTATATGTATATTGTAGACAGCAGGTCTATTTTTTATTTTGGGAAAAGAAAAAGATGTTCTATAGAAATCTTGGCAAGTTGTATTAATCTGAAATCAAAAGTTCTGCCTTTTTAAAAAAGCATGTTTCTAAGTTTAAACCTAACATTTGATCATTTTGTTGAAAATGACCTACAGTAAAATCAATGCAAGGGGTTGTTCATTGATGTGCTACCAATTTTATACCAGTATAACCCCTCTTAAGTAATGAAGTTGTGAAATGATGCCCCTGGTTTTCCTCCCCACATGGCATTATTTAGGAAGTCATCTGAATGTATAGGTGCATGTCTGAGGTCTATAGTATTTGGGAAGGTATTTAGTCAGTGCAGTTATAAACTGTACAAGAACTGAAAGGCCTTGATTCTTCCAGACTAGCCCCTCCAGCTTCTACTTCCAGTCATCACAGGGGTGTGACAGATGTTTCCCAAGTTTGATCTGCAGATTGGTAGAAATAGCTGGAGGTCTTTCTTGAAAGGAAGGTCTTACAAGGCTTTGAGGGCTTGATAGGAAAGTAAAAAATTCTTTTCCATCATGATAATCTTATTTGCCTATCATCTTTTTGCCTATGACTTTCAACATATCTAGAGCTGCATTTCATCTGTGCACCCCACTTGATTTAAATCAGCTTATCTGGTCCATGTCCAATTCCTGCTTCTCATGTGATTCCTCTTCAGTTTGTGAGTCCAGGAATAACCATATTTTCTGTTCTTGGAATAGTCCTAAGAACAGATTGATGCTTTAGAAAAACCTGTTTGAGCACTGATTTCTAGGCTACGTCTTGTTTGCCCAGTCTGTTTCCTAGAAATGATGATGTTGCTAGGGTCCTGGTGGCTTTGTACAGGCAAACAGCTGTTTGGAAAATCCCCATGTACCCAAATTCCATTTGAATTCAGTTGTGGACCCTTGGAATTATGTCCAAGGTTACAATAATTACGTTCTTAGCTAGACAATGCCTTAATTTCCTCCTATGTAAAATTGCATTCATTATTCTTATCTAGCTTTTGAGTCCCTTTAGACCTGAACAGCATTATTAATTTGTTTTTCTTGTTTGCTAGGAGAAAGAGCAGATCCTAACGACGATACGAATTGTTAATAAACTTTAAAAAGCCAACTTCCTAGCAAATAATTTAAATGTTAGAAACTAGACTTTATCATATCCCAAGCTTTTGCACTCTTCTGTGGAAGACACATTCTCAAGAAGTCAGAAACTCTGCAACTGTCTTTTCCATTTCCAGCAGACTTGGAGTAATTGGTTCATCTGGTGGGATCTCTGCTCAAGTAAATATACGCAAAACCTTAAATCACCCATCCCCTTTGCACTGATTTTGCAACATAGTCCATATGCTTTATTACTGCAAACAGGAGTGATTTAAGAAGTTTTCTGGCAACTCCACTCACATTATTCTTTAGAGACGTACAGTATTCACCTTCCCTGCCTCAGCCTTTCTCCATGCAGCTTTCTCCGTGATGCTGGTCAAGCCTGTATATCTGCTACAGCAGAAAGCTGCATAAAAAGGATTCAGTTCTTTGTTCCTCTGTATCTTTTGTCCTCACTCAAATAAGGACTGAAGTGCAGGAGGAGCACAGTAAAGGATATAAATAGTAGAATTAATCTAATCTAATTCTAGGGATATAAAAATTCAGGAAAGCTAGTCTACGTTATTTGCTTGACTCCTTTTCAAGTCAAGCCAATAAAAAGACAGGGGCACTTCCATAGGGAATTTTGTTTGCCTTGAACATTTAGGCTAAGATGGAATAAATATTCTTCCCACTCCAGAAAGCCTGTTCCTTTGCAGGGGAAGTTCCTTAATTTATTTCCTTTACCTCTAATACTATTCTACTTCACAGACATGTTGCCAAACTTAATAAATTTGTAGTTAAGGTTTTGTCTATGTGATGATCACAGCCGGTGATCACATCCACAAGGAATGTATCTACCATTGCACTTAGCTCCTTTAATTGAATATCTTTCAGAAATGGGTATTTTTTTTAATAATGAGTTACAAAGACCATAACTATTTTCTTCAAACTTAACAAAACTGCTTTGTAACTTATAGCTGAACCATATTTTATGCACTACTTTTTACTTCAGTGTATCATGGCTGAAACTTAGTAGTAATCCTGGCAGACTTCTCTTGCTTTGCGAGTATTGTTGAGAAATGCGGAGAAAATGCTATACAGTTTCTTGTGTTGTCAAAAAATTAGTCGATTGTCTTGAAGTATGAGAAAAGAATCAGCCTAAAGATTGTTTCTATTCCTGCACGACTTAGCACAGCAAATTTGAATATGCTTACAAGAATGTCATAAAATGAAAAGAAGACTATAGAAAGCCTTACGAAGAACAGAAATAAATTAAAGAAAATAAAGTAGACGACATTCTTTTTAATGGGGGACAATTGAATGCGTAGCCAGATCTATCCTTCACACCTTTCTATGAAGGCTATCCCAGGAATGTTATTAGTTTCTTAACAGGAGTCAAAACCTGAGAGGGAAATGTATGGCCTTGTGGAGCTATGTAAAGCTGTATTATAAATCTTCCAATTAAAAAAATGGCTGCGCTACAACAAACCAGAGGGAAAGCAGTGTGCAGCTTTCTGTCATATACCCCACTTCATATATCTAGCACAGCTGGTCAAAAGAAGAACACTGAGTACTCTTGGCAAGCTCCAGTAGTGATCATGGTACTTCCCCATCTACGTAGTACGTAAGCATGATATCAGCAGTGGGCTGCACTGATAATTTCAAGTATCATAAATCTGTATTTTCACAGTTAGAATATATGCCATGGACCACATTAGTTAAATCCCTTCTTATGAACCTTGGTGAAAATTTCTCAGAAATGTTTGATATACCCATGGGATACAAGAGTTGGAGTGTAACTAACTGTATGTGCTTGCACATGACTGTTTGTCTGTATATGTTTGTGTGGGAGTGATGTAACTTACATGGACTTGATGCATGTTTGTGCTGTTTAACTTGTCTTGCAGCACATGGCACCTCTATGCATTCCCAGGGCTGAACCTGCCCTGCTGGCATGACAGTCTGTGTGGTTATTTGGCTAGAGAATAAGAAGTTTCTCTTGTATGTATGTGAGGTGTAATACTGGGAAGGATTTGTTGACTAGAGTTGCCAAGCTTGGGAGAATGGTAAAGTGGGAGTGATGGAAATGGGAGTGATGTGCCTTTTAGGATGGTGCACATCATCAATTATATTGGGCAAGGGCATTGCTTGGACCACCATGAATGCAAAAGAATAGCTGTTTGTCCTTTGACCACATCTTGAAAAGTGGTGCTCATTCCAGGAGCATCAGTAAAAGTGGCAGCCTTCTAGAATAGCTTCTGTGGGTGAGCATGTATTTCTTCTTTGAAAACCCTCGTTTCTGAGTGAAAGTAGAACTATTCTGAGTTGTCAACAGATTTAAGACCAGCAGGGAACATGCCATTCCTTGGCTGTGTGAAGGAGGAGAGCACAATGTATTTTCAGGTTTAGATATTCCTCTAAGATGGTGGGGGGGACAGGGATGCCTCCATCAGTGCTCTGTCACACATGCACAACTCCCAGAAAGGGAAGAGGAAAGACAGGATGGCAGCTAAGCTCTGTCTCACTATCCGCACCAAAACGAGAGCCTCATTATCTCACAAGGCAGAGCAGCTCTGCACTGATGCCAACAAGAACCACAGACCAAGGTGCCACAGTTTGGTCTTCAGTAAATGAAACATAATGTCCAATGAGAAATCAATCCTTGAGGTATTAATTTATTTTCATTTTCCAGGCTGGTAGTCTTGGTGAATAGATTTTACTCACTGTATAGCAAGGTCACTGTGACAAATTCTGAAAAAATACACGTTCAAGTGTTTTTTGGTTTCACAAGCACATGAGCTCAGTGAGAAGGAACAGACTGAAACGGCAAGGAGAACAGCCAATCCTGTTATATTTGTCTTTCTTATTACTGACTTGCCATGATAAATATGGAAAATTATATTTGGCGAGAAGGAGGCTGAGAAAGGGAACAGATGGCCACCAAAAGAATACTAGAGCAGCTAATAGTCACTGGCATATTTCCGGGATAAAAATTTAAATCTGAAGCCAAGCAGAAGGGTTATCGATTTTTTTCTGATCAGGGTACTGTGTATGAGACTGATCCTGCTATGCTCTGACTAGATGAAGGTGGGCTTCCTGAAATGCATTCGCCGAATGGAATAAACAACCTCTGTCCTGCAGTTAACGACTCCTGCAGTTATGCTGACAGAAATAGTTGACAAGGTGGGGAAAATGTTTATGTTCCTACTGTATTTTGAGTGAGTGAGACTTCATTTGCTATGGCTTTTTAATATATTGCATGCTTTAACACCTACATTGCATTCTCTCTATGTATTCTACAGGCTTTGTTCAGTTTTGATAGAAAGTGTCCATTTAAATGAGGAGACAATAGAGTCTATATTTTATATATTTGTGTATTTTATAATTTCTAAAATTCTAATCCATTTCTGATTTCTATAGTCAACTGGGAACTGAAAAAAATTAACCTGACATTTTGGGAATTATGAAAATGTGTCACAATTTCTGGTTCTGCAGAATGCTGTATGCTTAGTACTTAAAACTCCTTATGATTGCAGACTAGCTAGTGAATGAGGACATTGTTCTGTTTCTTGAGTAATAATTTGAACACATAATTTGAAGGGCTGGAATGGCATGAGATGATAGTTTGGTACTGAAGTGCAATATTGGAGCTGCAGGACAGGCCAAGCGCTATAGGAGTAGGACAGCCAGGAGTGAAATGGAGTGGAGTAGTAACAGTTGCTTCAGTTTTTCTTTAGAGTGCATCTGCCAGAATTAAACCAGTCGCAACAGCTCAGCTGTAGATCCCATAGTAGATGTACAGGATTTTGCTAGAGCAGCAGCTGATGGGTCATCTGAATCAAGACCATCAAATAAGTCACTGTTGTGGACTAACTGATCGATCCACCTGCCACTTGCAGGACTGTTGTAGGCACAGATCAGGTTTTCCACTGCTAAAAGATTATTCTATGTACCTATTTGGGGGAATGTTATGAGGGCTGATCAGTTATTGATTTTAAAGTGTTTAGAATAAATTGGCCAAAGAGTGCTGAAGAAGTATAAACCCTTAATAAGTAGCTTTTGAGAAGAGAGACAAAGAGAATCACAAATTTCAATGATTAAAAAGAAGGCACAGCCATGGGTGGATAGACTGATTTTGCTTTTGCAGTGTAAAAGGAGAAATGTCCAATCTTTCCCTGGTGAATGGAAATTAGATGGATTCTGAATTCTGGCAGCACATTTTGGTGCTCACTCACCTGCTTCCTTAGGTCTTTCTGGGTTTTAAAGACATTTTATAAATGATTCATGCTCTATTAGTAAATACAATATACTTTGAACTTTATATAAAGTAATGTAGACATCACTGCATGGACTTTTAAAAGTATTACTAAGAAATAAAATGCTATTTTGGAGTGAAGACTCTGCAGTCTGTACAGGTATGTGAAGCCCACAATTTCTTTGGTTTTTGGTGATAGCTGTTTCTCTCTAAAATCCTGGCTTTATATTGCCTTGGAGTTAGAAAAGCACAAAGTGGTTAAGAAACTGTCTCTAAATGCAGTGTAATCTTTTCATCAACTCCAGAAACTGAAAAATAAAGCTAGCTGGGAGTAAAGTACAGATGAGATGTGGGAAAAAGTATAACATGCACTAAAATTAATTGACTTATTAAGACCTGTGTTGATGTATCTAGAGGAGTTATTAATGTGGATCCCAGACTCATCTTCATAACAAATGTGATTCTCCCTTGAAATGCAGGATATGTAGTTTGCATGTGAAGTGTTTGTCTGTAAAAATATTCTGGCACTGGGTTTTCCATAGATCATCTATGTAAATTCACACTGAACGACTGTTGTGGTTTAGCCCCAGCCAGCAGCTGAGCACCGCACAGCTTGCTCGCTGACTCCTCCCCCCTGGTGCGATGGAGTGATCGGCTCCCCTCCAGTGGGATGGGGATGAGAATCTGAAGAACAAGGTAAAACTCATGGGCTGGGATAAGGACAGTTTACTGGGACAGCAAAGGGAGAGGGAAATAACAACAGCAGTACTGATAACAGAATATACAAAGTGGGTGATACACAATGCAATTTGTTCACCCCTGGAGCCCAATGCCCAGCCCATCCGTGAGCATCTCCTCCCTAGACAGCCGCCTTTTTGTAGTGCGCATGATGTCATATGATAGGGAATATCCCTTTGGCTAGTTCGAGTCCTGGCTGTGTCCCCTCCCAGCTTCTTGTGAAAATTGACTCTATTGCAGCCAAAAACCAGGACAAGGATAGTGACCACAAGGACATTGGGTGCACTGGGCAAAGTATATCATGCACTAGGACATTCGTATGTAGGAAGCAATAATCCAGTGGTTCTCTTCCAGTGGCATTTGTTGTGGTGGCTCTGGGGATGTTTTGGGTTTACAGCACATAATCCCTTACCCCTGGCCAGCTGATCTCCATCCAGTTCCAAAGACTGGAATTACTGTGTCCTGCAAAGACAGGTCTTAGTACCTTTCCTTTTCCAAATATTCTCCTCTGCTCCACAAATATCCATGACCTTTCCTCTCCAACTGTACCCAATTAGCCTAATAAAGTTAAACCCAGCGCTATTGTTCCCAGCTTGTTCTGGATCTGAAGTATACCATTTAAGCTTGCAGAAGGACTTATTTATTTGTTGTATTTTTCTCCCCTGACTTTTAAAATTAAAAGAAAGAGAAAATACCTGCCATGGACACTAACAACACAGTTGTCCAAGGGGCAATTTCTAGCTGGTCTGCCCAGCTTTAGTGGTGTCTTCTTGGTTGACGGTGAGACAGCTGAACCTGCATGTCAGAGGGCAGCATTTTCTTCATGTGATCAGGTAGATTTGTACATAGAGTTTTCTCTCCATGTTTGGTGTGGAAGTGTCTTCTAGAGGTCTCTAATCTAACCTCATCTCCAAGGATGGAGCTCCCACAGCCTCTCTGAGCACCTATTCCGTACTTACAGAGCAGGATGCATCAGATCCATTGTTCATCTACCTTCAGCTTGCTCTGCATCTTTGTAGCAATGCTAATGCATTCTGGATATATCGCGGTCACTGTATGTGCATGGATCAGTTTGTACACAAGCATCTCTCACCCACTACAGATCCTATATATATGCACTGTATTGGCACAGATGCAGCACTTTCATCTGAGTTGTCCCTTCTTTAGGCTGAGAGAGAGGCCCTTTCAGCACAGCTAGGCTGCATCATGACAGATGTTTTACGGCCAGTACAAAACACATTCAGCCTTCTCCCCCAGTATGTAGATATATTTTCACGTGGACTAACTGAAGTCCATGACGAAGGGCCTTTCAAAAGTGATCCCCTGGCACTGAATAGGCTATGTGTCATTTTGAAGAGCAATGACTTTATCACCAGCATGTGCTCTACCCATTTAAGACTGTGTGACAGGTACAGGCCATGGAAACCCTGGCTGCACAACAGATAAATAAGAATACCATGCTGCTTTATTTAAGTGTTTCTAATCTGCACCTCACATCCATAATATAATTTTGGCTTCAAATCTGTTATTTTAAAACTCTAAAGATCCCCACTCATGCCTCCAAGTTCCTCTGCTTCTGGAGAAAATATTGCTGTTCTACCACTTCAAAACTTCTACAGTGGAACTGACATGTCTACCTGGATAAAGATGAGAAGAAGGACTTGGGGGTATTGATTGATGAGAAGCTCAACATGAGCCAGCAGTGTGCACTTGCAGCCCAGAAAGCCAACCGTGTCCTGGGCTGCATCAAAAGAGGTGTGACCAGCAGGTCGAGGGAGGTGGTCCTGCCCCTCTACTCGGCTCTTGTGAGACCCCACCTGGAGTACTGCATCCAGCTCTGGGGGCCCCAGTACAGGAGAGACATTGAGCTGTTGGAGCGAGTCCAGAGAAGGGCCATGAAGCTGATCAGAGGGCTGGAGCACCTCTCCTATGAAGACAGGCTGAGAGAGTTGGGGTTGTTCAGCCTGGAGAAGAGAAGGCTCTTGGGAGACCTTACAGCAGCCTTCCAGTACCTGAAGGGGGTCTACAGGAAAGCTGGTGAGGGACTGTTTATCGGGGAGTGTAGTGACAGGACACTAACGGGTAATGGGTTTAAGCTGAAGGAGGGTCGATTTAGATTAGATGTTAGAAAGAAATTCTTTACGGTTAAAGTGGTGAAGCACTGGAACAGGTTGCCCAGAGAGGTTGTGGAGGCCCCCTCCCTGGAAGTGTTTAAGACCAGGTTGGATGGGTCTTTGGGCAACGTGGTCTAGTGGAGGGTGTCCCTGCCCGCAGCAGGGGGGTTGGAACTAGATGATCTTTGAGGTCCCTTCCAACCCAAACCATTCTATGATTCTATGATTCTATGATTTTTTTTGGCTGCAAGTGGAATGACATTGTGTCACAGAGCCCAGGGACAAGGCAGCACATTTGACCAAACCCAGTGGGGTTCACTCCAACCTATGGAGCAGAGCTCCAAGCTGCTGTAGCCACAGAGTTTTCAGTATCTAAATTATTGTCAAGATTTCTGCAATTCACTACAGTCTGTTATTGGACAGAAATGTACAGTGCTACTTATCATGTTCATTTTTACAAAAAAGCTGCTGAAAGCAGTAGTAGAATCTTAAAAATGATGAGCTGCTTAGCACTTTCCCCATGTTTCTTTTTTTTTCTATGTGTTGCTAATATTATCTGTCCGTTGAAACCAATGTATTTTTTCTATATCTCAGTAAATTTAAATATTGATTTGTGTTCTTATAAAATCTGTGCCACAAGTTGAATCAGTTTAATGCTGCTATTAGCAATGGATGGACTCACAATCTGCCTTGTGAGGCAGTTTAAGGCTGTCCTTCCAAGCAGACTTTCTATCTGCTTTCGAGAACATATTTAGGGATGGCAAAGGCCCCCCCTTCCCCTCCGCTCACTACCACATGGGCATATCAAGCATGCTGAGAGGCATAATAGGCAAAGCAAGCTGTCTCTGCACCTGCCCACAAAACAGCTGTTCATCTGTGAGAGGAATTGCTAGAGCGTAGAGAGTTTTCAGCAGCTTTTGTGGTCCTCTCTCATACACTGTGTTGGCACAGGCATTGCCACAAAGGAAAGAAACATAGAAAGCATACAGAGATTTCAGGATCTTTTTATTCCAGAATCATTTTTATTAAAGCATCATTTCATGTTTGCAGTCTTCCCATGTGGATGCATTTTCTCAGTCTCAACTGACTGTTCAAGAGAGAGATCATCTGGGATCTAACAGAGTCTTCCATCAGGTACGTGATTCTTCAGCTGACTTTAAAAATATCTCAATACTTTTTTTCTGAGACCCCTTTTAATAAATGAATCTGAGCAGAGGGATGTCCTTCATTCCCTGCAGTCTTCCATTTCCCCTGTATCTGTATGACTGTCCCAAGTGCCTGCGAGTATTTTGGTTTTGTTAGCTTAGCTGTTCAGTAGGATTTGAGGAATTTCTTCTGCCTAGCCACTTTTGTTTCTTGAAGCTTTCATAAAAAGTTCACCAAAATCTCCATTCCAAGGTTCTAAAGACTTCTCCATAGTATCGGAAAAGTAAACTTATTTATTCAAGTTGGTTGAATTGAGAGGTTTCTTTCTTTGCTTTTTGAAAAAAATATCAAACCTCTCTGTTTTTGTTAAATGCTTGACAAATACATTTCTCTCCTTCCTTGATGATAAAAATTTCAGGTTTATATGGGTTGTAGCCTTAACTCTCTGGACCTTGTGATGCATTTGATAGCACGTAGCTGATCTATTTCAGATCTATTTCAAATATTTTTTAAATTATTTGCCAAAGAAATAGTCTACCTTGAAAATTTTCTCTGTTGATAAGATTGTGATTTCTCTCACTTTAGAGAATAGTCAATAGTCAATTAGCCAAGAATATTAGAGGTCCTAACATTCATAAAGCCACATCTTTAAATGACTGACTTTAAAGATCGAGTGGCATAGAAGTGTTTTGCAAATAACGAATGGGAGAAGTCTAAAGGAAGGAGTAATAATCCTGGAGTTTTCCAATGAGTACAAGCATTTCTTTTTCAATAAAGGCAAGCAGAGAGCTTGCCTTTTCCTCACTAAAAAGGTGTGCAACAAAGGGGCCTAGTCAAAGTGAAGTCCCTGGGAAATAAGGGGGAAGGAAATATTGAGAAACCAGTGCAGGGAAGACCCTCTCACTGTCTCCAGTCCTGGTGTTTGGCAGCAGTCCAATCCCAATTTCTCTCCTACCACTGGGAATAGCTACAAAGGAATACCTTTGTTGATGTGATTAGTGTTTGAAGTTTTGTGTTGAATGTATATTTTAATGATAATTCGTTTACTCTTCATGCCTGCTTATTACCCTACACATGCTTTATTTTCCCTACTCAAAGGAGTCCTGCTGCCTGGAACGGCTGTTCAGTTTCCAAGCCCAACCGCCTTTTCCAGCTGAAGCAGTCACCTCTCTGATGCTGGATGGAGATGCTCTTGTGGGGAAACTTCCATGCCCTAAAATGTGCCAGGTTGCCCGATTGCCTGCACAACCTCCACCTGCCCATTAATACAACTGAGAGCTGCTGGAGAGTATCTGCTCTTTTCCCCTTCGCCATTAGGTGTCAGAAGTGAACCATACACATTTTCTAAGGTTTTAAATCCCTCTGATTTTCGAAGGTGTGACACAGAATTGCCTGCTAGGTCGTTATGTAATATTTACTTATGCTTTCTATTTAGAAAGTCAGCCACGGTGTTCTTTCCCTCCCACATCTGGAAGGTCAAGCAAAGCATGGTTTGGTTGCAGACACCGCAAATCTTCCCCCCCTTGAAAGCAGCCTGCCTCAGATAACAAATAAGAGCTTGCAGAATGTCCTCCCCTCTCTTCAGGTGAGTTATAAAGCTCTTAGACATCTTGCGTTTGAGCGATTAATCAGCTTCTCTCTAGTACTGCTAAAGAGAGCGTCAGTGGCAAAGTATCACAAGAGTGTGTGTGTGTGGGAAGAGAGAAATAATTTAGCCTCAACATTTGCATCAGTTTCTGTTTTCAGCCATAGTTAAAGAGAAAAAAAAAGGAAGAACTATAAACAGTCAAATAGATAAATTGCTTACCAGCATAGTGGTGTGTATCTCCAGATATTTTAATGGACACCCAACATCACCGGAAGTTTTTGAATTCATCTTCACTTTTGGTGTTCCTTCTTTCTCGTTTTTTTCACAAATCCTGTGTCCATTTCCTGTCTATACTTGTCTTCCTTTTCTGTTTCTCTACCCAACAAATCAGGGACCTGCACTACTTACCACTACTACTCTGATCACTCCTTTTTTCACCTTTCTTCTGCTTCAATGAAGTCTCTTTATTGAGAGGCTTGACAGGTTCTACAGGCTCCGATATAAAGTCTTTTCCTATCTCTAGCACTGGAAGTCTCCACTTAATGCATTTTGTTTGGGAAGTCAAATACTTTAACTTTGAAATTGGCAGCTTGTTACTACTACAAATGACTTAATTTGGTTAGAGGGGTTATGTATCATTGGGTGAAGCTACAAGATGCAAAATAGCATGAATGAGGAGGTGGAATGGGTTAGTCTCCAAAACATAAATTTTATTTAAACCTTAATTCTGTGGCCTTCATAAGTCAAACCTGCACTCAACTCCTACAAAACCCAATGATTAAGCTTTGGATCTGAGAATGAACCATCCCCCATTTTATTTTCTGTGAAAAGATTGGAGCCAAGTGTTTTATAGAGGGTTTGTTTGGATTAATTTTCATTCTTTAAATGGAATTTATAGACTTCCAATAAGAAAGCGTTGTGCTTGGCTTAGAAGTGCCAGGGGGCAATAAACATTTCAATCTTGAAAGCATGATTATGTGCCATCTGTTTTGGAGACCTTCTTTGTTTACCCTTCCTTAGAAACGACAGAGCATTGCTGAGTTGAGGGAGTTTGTACTGGAATGGGGACGGAGCAGAGTCCTCAGGCTGGGGCTCAGCAGGATAGCAGTAGGACTGACCTGGGTCAGCACAGAACTGTATTTGAGCTGTTCAAGTGGTGCCGCTCATACGTGGCTGCTCTGCTTTTGTAGCAGTTAATATTGCAAAAGAAAATATGAAGGTAAGGTGCAAGTATGGGAAGATGATTTTATTTTAAAACAAACCCATTTTCACTTGCGCTCGCACATTCTTATCTCAAAACTCACAAGCACCAAGATGCCTGTATCCAAGTGGTACCAGTCAGGACTTCTTGCAAGGACATGGTAGACTAATATTGCTCATTGGTTGTCCATATCACATCACCTGGATTCTTCTTATCTTTGCAACCATGTGCTGGTTTTTGAATATAGCTTTTGTACCCATCTGACACTGAGAGAGACTGATGTTTTGTATCTCCATCCTGTCCCACTTCTGTGAGTCATCAAGACTTTCTCAAAGGATGAAGAGTTATAAATAAAGGAATAATTTAGGTTGAAGGGACCTTGTCATCATTTAACCCAGCTAAGCCCCACACAGCCTTCGCTCACTCCTCCACAGTGGGATGGGAGAAGAGAATCAGAAGAGTGAAAGTGAGAAAACTCGTGGGTTGAGACAAAGACAGTTTAATAGGTAAAGCAAAAGCCATGCACACAAGCAAAGCAAGACAAGGAATTCATTCACCACTTCCCATGGGCAGGCAGGTGTTCAGCCATCCCCAGGAAAGCAGGGCTCCGTCACGCGTAACGGTGACTTGGGAAGCCAAATGCAAATGTCCCCCCCTTCCTCCTTCTTCCCCCAGCTTTATATGCTGAGCATGACATCATATGGTATGGAATATCCCTTTGGTCAGTTGGGGTCACCTGTCCTTACTGGGTCCCCTCCCAACGCCTTGAACACCCCCAGCCTCCTCGCTGGTTGTGTGTGAGGAGCAGCAAAGGCCTTGGCTCTGTGTAAGCATTGCTCAGCAGTAACAAAAACATCTCTGTGTTATCAGCACTGTTTTCAGCATAAATCCAAAACACAGTCCCATACTAGTTACTGTGAAGAAAATTAACTTCATCCCAACCAAAACCAGCACAGACCTCCAGAAGACATCTAGCCCAACCTCCCACTCCAAGCAGAGCAAACCTGGAGCAGGTTACTCAGGGCCTTGTCCGATTGGGTTCTGAATATCTCAAAGGATGGAGAGTCCACAGCTTCTCAGGGAAAATTGTTGCAATAGTGAACCACTCTCATGTTGAAAAATGTTTCTCCTAATATTTAATCAGCATTTCCTGTGTTGCAGCTTGTATCCATTAGCCACATACCCAAATCGTCCTCAGAGTCTGGCTTTGCTTCTTCTGTATCATCCTGTCAAGTAACTGTAGACAGCAGCAAGATCATTCCTGAAGCTTCCTGTTCTGCAGGCTGAACAAATGTATTTCCTGCAGCCTCTCCTTGTCCATCATGTGGTCCCGGCTCCTGACCATGCCCTGAATTTGCTCCAGTTGGTCGATGTCTGTGTGCTACTGGGAAACCCCAGACTAGACACAGTACTCCCAGCGTGGCTTCACAAATGCTGAATAGAGGGGGAGATAATTTCTCCTACCCTGCTGGCTATCCTCTTGCATGTGCTAGGATCTTGATGACCTGCTGGTACAGGTGACATCTGTATATCCTTTCTTCTGCAATTTGTTCTTTCAAGTACTTCTGCACCCACACAGGCCCATTCATTCCCCATTCATACTAATCTTGATGTTTCTGTTGTAAAAGTGCATGTGTGCAGACCCAAGCTGGTGTCCCTGCAGTTCTGTGGGCTGCACAAGCATTCTCAAGGATTCTAGCACAGCTTTCCAGTGGATATGCCCACATAAAAATCTGAGATGGATAATGCCTGTTTTACTGTCTTTCCTGCTCTCTGTACTAGGAAGACCATACTCAGATCCTACCCTAGCTCGTGCAAGTTACTGCAACTTAATCAAACCATGGCAGTTTGTAGCATTTATAGAAAGTGAGTGCCCATGTATTGAATGAACCTGGAAGATGAACTTCCTTCTCTTATTTAGAGATTTATCTTTCCATGGTCCAATAGCCTCTAGTGCTATTCGCAGAATTTGCTCTCTAGGTAAGTAGGGCGTTCCAGTCCCCAAGCTTGCTTGTTCTGTCTCAGCACAAAATTGACATAGAGATCGCTCAAGAAATCCAATATCCAAATCTTGCGGTTTTGTCTTTGGGAATGTAGCATTTTAAAATATATTTTGGTACATATTTCTATAATTGCAGATCAGCTGAACGTTCCTGAAAATATCTGAAAACAAAATTTACTTTTTCTTTTTCTTGGCAGGAAAATGGAACTCAAGGCAATTTTTCCAAATTTAGCCTTCCAAACAGTCTTCCTGAAACTGATACCAGAGCCCAGACAAAATCATCAGAACTGGAAAGCACCAGCATCGGTGTCAAACTGCCTATGACAGCTTCAGGTAGGATATGATAGAGCATGCTATAAAAACCAGAGTGAGAGGCTACCTGCACAGACAGGGAGTGTATGCAGTCAGGAAACACAGTGACCAGAGGTCCCATGCTAAATGGTCACTGAAATATTTAACAAACAATTTGGAGGAAAGGAATATGGATGGGGTCAGTGATTTCTAAAAATCCTACTTGGAGATGTATGCAATAGGAAAATGAATAGGCTAACACAAATATATAAATGAGAGAAGTATGCATTATACAAAAAAATGTATATTTGTCTAAGACTTACAACAGGTCAGGTAGGTGACAGCAATATTCTATTACAGTGATAAAACACTTTTCCCACTTGCTTGTAGTTGTGTCACTTTTTATCTATGTGGGCTAAGTTGCATTTTGGGAGTTCTCAGATCTAGAAGGTTTCTGGCAAAGTTAATCTATTTTTGTAAGGAGTCTAGGAGAAAAAAAAAATAGTGGCCTTTAGCATCCCTCCATTAGTGGATGAAGATCTGCCACTGTTTAACAAAACACCCACATGCATGCCTAGAGAACACGTCGATTTGTAATGCTATCGTCTGATTATTTATGTAGATTTAAATGACGAAAGTGGAGGTGTTAGGGTAGCTGAAATGTTTCTATGCAGGAAGAATCAGAACTAGGAGAACTGCAGATCTGGGCTTCATTTAATTCCTTACCTCATGCATCTGAACTCGACATTTTCTATCAGAAAAACAAGTACTTAAAAGTTTTGGTTAACTAAAGCTTACTGCCATTTTATAAATATGACAGTCAAATTAATAAAAACATACAATTTTTATAATATAAGCTATGAAGCTTGCTGAAGCATATAGACAACAGATGGGATTTTCAAAAACAGCTAGGTACAAAACTTTGCTCAGAATCAAATAATTTTCACCTAAGCTCTCTTAAAAGTCTTACTGACAGGTGATGAATGCTAACATAATACTGTAAGTCAGAAAAAACCCCATAAATTCATGCAAAATGTCAACATTGTAGAATCATAGAAATGTTGGTTGGAAGGGACCTCTAACAGTCAGCTACTCAGACTCCTGCTCAAAGTGGCATGCTCTAATCTAGAATGTTTCATTGTAAAAGCAATTTGCCATTGGGTTTCTGACATTTTATTAATTTTTTTTGTTTTATATTCTTCTTTTTCTGATTTAGAAGCCTTGAAAAATTTTAGAAACCAGCTAACAGTCTATGAGCAAAAAGAAATTTTCAATTATACAGAGCTATGGTTTCTTGGGCTGGAAGCTAAAAAGATTGAAGGTTTGCCTGAAACCCAGAATAATAATTGTTATGATGATGAGCATGGTTCCTACTTAAAGGTAAGTGGAAAAATTATGGTTTTCATTTTTCAGCTCAATAAGTTTGCAGTGACTGTCTGCCAACTCTTAAGTGATCTATGTGAGATAAATGTTGTTTCTAGAAGATAAATATTCACATAGTGAAAACATCAGTACCAATCACTTTAAAGCTCAGAAGAGAATCTTAGAGAGACCCACTTTGCATCTCATTCAGGACTGATGCAAGGTAGGTGGGTTAATGAACTTATTTCCTCTTGTTATTTCCTCTGTCGCCCTTGTTTAATGTAGACTTCACTTGCTACCAGTCCAGCGTCTTTCATAGACAGCAAACTCATACACACAAGAACTACTTTAAAGCCTGATCTTTGTCGTACTACCTGAATCTGAACTATTTCTTTTCTTTTGAAGGTTTTACATGACCATATTGCATACCGATATGAAGTGTTGGAAGTGATTGGGAAAGGGTCATTTGGGCAGGTGGCTAAATGCCTGGACCATAAAACTAATGAATTAGTGGCATTGAAAATAATAAGGAATAAGAAAAGGTGAGACGTCTGTTAACTTTAAATCAGTACAATCAGCTCTTTATTGTATAGGCAATGACAATCTGGGATAATGTGAACAAAGCAAAATCAAACCGCCTGGCTTGATCAGGCTTTCATTAAACACAGTGAGAACGGAGCGCAGAAAGGTGATGTCAGGGACTCAGAATTGTCCTGGGCCCAGTGGAGACACAGGCACAGTTTTTCCAGACTTAGAAGGAGGTGTCTGTATCTGTGACGCAGTTAATACACAGCACAGGTAACCAGCCCTGCACGACTGAGAGCTGACAGCCTACATTCCCACCAAGACTCCAAATCCACAGGAATATGCTGGGAGGCTCGAGTCGCTCATTTTAACATGAAAAATTTTACACTATGGTGCTAAGCAACCTCTTCTCTCTATGTGACTGGTTACAAATTTTTAGTTGAGTTTAGCTTGAACCAGAGTCAATGAAGCAGATGAGAATGATGCTGTTGACTCCAGCAACAGAGTTTTAGCTGTTCAGTTTTCCCCCTCAGTGAACACTAAATGTGAAGATGCTCTTCAAAACTGACTGTCTTACTGTGGTAGGTGTGAAATATGGCCCTGTTCGAGTAAATAGAAGAATTCCTGTGGATTTTGAAAAGATTTTACACTGGATGCTCATTTGAGACTGTTTTTCATTTAAATATTTTTTCAGACAAGTCAAAATAACTACTCTTATGTGCTATATAAGGCCAGTATATTTAGACTAGGCAACAACCATAATGAATCAAAGTTACAGTAGTTAACACGGGTGAATGGTGAATTTTTAATCATTGTCCCACATGTTGAGTTTACATTAAGATTGTGGTGTTTGTAACATTTGTATTGCTACAAATGCTAGATTGAGTTAATGTTACCATTCCCATGTCCTGTGATATTTCAGATTTCACAGCCAGGCTCTGGTAGAAGTGAAGATCCTTGATGCTCTTCTGAAGAAGGACAAAGATGATACTCACAATATCATCCACATGAAGGAATACTTCTACTTTCGCAATCACTTCTGTATTTCCTTTGAATTACTGGGGTAAAGTATACTTTCCTTTACACGAATCTTAAGGAACGTTGTAGATCTTGTGCCTTACAAGCTTTAATTTTTATGTCTTCTTTGGAAGAATTTTCTTCTCTTAATGTTACAGGAGAGGAATACTCTTTAAATACAGACTGCATAACTGAGTGTTTGGTCACCAAAGGCGAACTGAAAAAAGCCCAGTTCAGACTTCACACAGACAATGACATGATTCATCCCTTATTTTCTGTGCTGTGCATTGAAGTCATCTTCCCTGAAAGACCTAAGGGGAAAAGAGTAAAACAATAAATTCACGACTGGTAAACTTCAGGATATATAAACATGAATAATATTAAATAATTAAAAAATATAGCTGTTTCTTGCTTTCTATGAATGTATGCTACTGGACACATCTTAGGATTGGAGAATTTTCAGGGAATTGGAGAAATTTCAGGGAAATCAGACCATTTTATTTGCCAGCCTCCTTGTAATCAGGGCATCAACCTGGAATTACAGAGGTTATGCACGGTTCCTCATCCCTTAAAGTAAAGCCCCATTGCTACACATGTTATAGCCCTTGCTGAAGATTCATCATTGTATGGAAGGCTTGATCTCAAACAGACCTAAATTCATTGTGTTGCTGTTTGTGAGTCTGTTACTCAGAGACACACAGGGATGAAAGTTGACTCCTTGTCTCCAGGGAAGTCACAGACCAGTCTTTCCAGAAAGCTGCTATAGAAACTCATAGGAAAATATTCACGGGATAGCCAATATGTTCAGTTCTTTGCAGAACAGTTGAAGACTGGTTGTCATATAAAAATATTTTTATGGTGCAATTTTTATTGCTTCTAAATTACAGTGAAAGCCCCTTAATTTGTGAACTTCTCCATCAGGTCCTTATAACTTCATTTACTTCTGAAGGAATGAACCTTGCCTGACACCAGCGGATGCACAAGCGGGGAAGGCAGAAAGCTACAGTTGTTTGTGTCCTTGTAGACGCATGTGGTCTTGCTGAGATCATATTGCTGAGGACACACTTGTGCATCCCTTCAATAGCCACCATCCCAGTGGCCATTTCCTCCTCTGAAGAACACCCACGCATTAAGCACTCAGTCCTTGCCAGGGCCATAGTAGACCCATAGGTGGCTTGGCGGGGCCCATAGCAGGGCTGCGTGGAGCTGGAGACCGGCCCTGCTGTGCTCTCGCTGGGTCGGGGGCAGACAGCCCTGAGGGGGCTGAGGTGGGGTCCTGGTCCCTGGGCAGGTGGGGGGAGCCCCGGGGTGGGCTGGGCAGGGACATCAGGGCTGGCGGTGCCCTTGAGGTCCAGGGCAGGGTTCATGTGTTGCCTACCACACTTGACAGAAGTTAGCAACATCATTTCATGCACTGCTGGAAGGAGCTAAGATACGATGGTGACAGGAGGAACGTAAACATCTAATGTGACCTGACTTTATGGGTGTATTTATCTAGAACAATTTACTGCTGATTAAAGACTTTTTAGACAAAAATGATTTACATAAGGTGCCAAAGCAAAGACAAATGAGAATGGAAACAGAAGAAAATTTATTTCTCTTGGTTCCTGAATGATAGTTGTTCTTGACTGAAAACAGCACAGCTGTATAACATAGCACAGCATAGTTTAGCAAGCAAGCATGTCCACTGGCATTATATCTTCTTTAGATCTGGAGGCTCAGGGAGAGGTTTGTGCATATTGCATGCAGAATAGCATTCTCAAGGAGGAAAATAGCTAAGTCATTTTCTTCTGCATGAGTCCTCCCTCATGTAGGAAGGCAGGCTAAATACTCTCTTAATGCACTATCAACTAATCATGCCTTCAAAAATAAGTTCCCTAATCTCTTTTCTGGTTTCTGTCTTCTTCTTCCACCCCACAACCCCCGCAGAATAAATCTGTATGAGTTGATCAAAAAGAACAATTTCCAAGGTTTCAATTTGTCTTTAATTCGACACTTCACTCAGTGTGTGCTGAGATGTTTACAAGTGCTCTACCAGGAAAGAATCATTCACTGTGATCTGAAGCCTGTAAGTACAGTAATTTCATAACCTGTTATTCTGTACAGAATATGTTAGCTTCATCCTATTTCTTACTGATTGAGAGGAACTCTCAGAAGAATCCTTAAAACTCAGTAGGGTATTTGTACAGAAGATATAATTTGTTTCAGATGGTATTAGTACTAGAGTCGAGTGATTCTTTCCATTGCTTCAGTTCATTCGCTGTGGTATTATTACATGATTATCTGGTTGCCAAAATGTATGCAAATATGAATCAAATTCAGGTAATGACATTTTGCTTACAGAAAGAAAAAAGTGCTTGTGAAATTAAGTATTTCAATATGAAAGACAATGCAAGGAAATATTCACACGGCAGCCTGTTTCAGGTCATCCTGTTAAGTCTGTTTAATTTCATATGCAGAACTATAAAATCAAGTAGCCAAGTAAATGACAAAGTAATTCTATTGTACAGTATTTAGGGTGCTCACTTGTTTCTGGAGGAACATCTGTGATTTCCTGCTGCTGTATCTGCTAAACGTTCATGCTAGGTGAAACATTTCCATTCTCCTTAAGCCTAAATCTCAAATTTTTGCAATTTTCTGGGATTTCTAAAGTATTTTAATTCTATTTTCATTTCAAGTGAAAATTTCTCTTGATTTCTTTTTCAAAACGGCAAATATGAAGCAATCAGTCAATCAGCTCTCAAGTAAAAATCATACAATCACAGAATCATAGAATGGTTTGGGTTGCAAGGGACCTCAAAGATCATCTAGTTCCAACCCCCCCTAGCCATGGGCAGGGACACCTTCCACTAGACCAGGTTGCCCAAAGCCCCATCCAACCTGGCCTTGAACACTTCCAGGGATGGGGCTGCCACAACCTCTCTGGGCAACCTGTGCCAGTGCCTCACCACCCTCACAGTGACGAATTTCTTCCTTATATTGCATCTAAATCGACCCTCCTTCAGTTTAAACCCATTACCCCTTGTCCTGTCGCTACATTCCCTGATAAAGAGTCCCTCCCTGACTTTCTTACAAGCCCCCTTTAGGTACTGGAAGGCTGCTCTAAGGTCTCCCTGGAGCCTTCTCTTCTCCAGGTTGAACAACCCCAACTCTCTCAGCCTGTCTTCATAGGAGAGGTGCTCCAGCCCTCTGATCAGCTTTGTGGCCCTCCTCTGGACTCGCTCCAACAGCATGAAAAATAAATATGCTAAGGATGAAATTCTGCTCTCACTTTGCTTAATGTATCTAGACTCAGAAGTCTGAAGAGTCACATACTCTCCGTACCCATTTTTTTGCCAATGTCTTTGCCAGACTAGTTTGCAGTGATAAGTGAAGACTTGCAAGATAATCAAAATATCTTAATCAGAAACAATTGGCCCAAGGAAAAATCTGTTCCCAGGCAGTAACTGACAAGGAATGAGGCTGGCAAGATCAATGAGAGTAGTCTGTATTTAAATAGAGTAACATGCTAGAGAACATTTAGTGAGTTAACTAAGGGAGGATTTTGTTCTCATTCCACGATTGTAAAGTTTCATGAATTTAATTTATATTGCCTGAAACTCACATCTGTTATTCCATCTGCCTCCTATGATATTTATCAACGTAAGACAGAGTATGGAGTTTCTCTGGACTTCAGGCTAGGTAATCACTGCTCCCAAGAACCTGGTTTTGCAGTTAATCAGCTCCTTTGCATTGTGAGAGATTCAGTATTAGAGACAGAGTCCTACCATGAGCATGAAGGGATAGCTAGCTGCAGAGAGAGGATGCTTCTTCCTGTAACAGAACCAAGAGCACCTGGGTAGTGGAAGTCAGTCCTTGCCTTGACTTTCATCAGTAGTGGCTTCTTCCTCCTGTCACACACAGTACTTCCTTATGAGCCCACTAATTACCCAAGAAACTACTTTCATTATTTGGCAGCAGCCTGGGAACTGCTTGGTCCTGCAAAGCGTTGACATATAATCACTTTAAAACTGGTTAATAAATGTAGCCATCTCTCTGCTGAGAAGTGGAGAAGACTCTATGATCAGAAATGAAATCAAAGGAAATCCTTGAATTAGATTTTTACTGAGGATAAAATTCAACTCTGCAGAAGAGAGCTAATAAGTTATGTTTACTCATCAGTGCAAATATCTCTGAGCTAGCTATTCAAGAATCACTTCTCAATTGGAATTGTAGGCACATGGTGCTGTACTCATCTGCACTGAGCTAATAATCCATAGGACCTGACCATTTCCATTCATCACTACTGTGAGATCTCTGCATCACACTGTTGTGAGGTGGAGAGAGGTATGCTTACAGGTAGTCTGGAGAAGGTTGAACGCAACTGAGGGAAGAATTGTGAAGTACAACTTGTTCATGGGGCAGGGGCTTTCTGTGGTTACAAAAGGATGGTTCTGGTTAATTTAGCAGAGCATGCAACCAGATGCAGTTTGCCTTCTGCTACAAGAATGAGCTTTGGGTAGCTCACTCTGCTCACACAGCAAGTGTTCTCACTGGCTGGTGCCTTGAGAGCATCACATACTGTACAGTGCAGTGGCTTGGATTTTATGTAAGGGACTAGTGTCCCTCAAATGGAGTACCTTTACAAATCTCCCCTCTACTTTGGTTAATTGCACATTATTGGATGCCTACAAGTTATCAAATGTATTCCCAAGGGAACTGAAGTTTTAAGCTTTTATTATGCAAATAAGTGTAAATCCAATGTGTTATGCATTGCTTCTTTTCCAAAGTATTCACTAACCTAATGTGGTGTTAAACTCTTTTTTTCCCTGTCATTTTTTTTCCTCTTTAGGAGAATATATTATTATACCACAAAGGCCAAGGTTCAGTTAAAGTTATTGATTTTGGATCAAGCTGCTATGAACACCAAAGAGGTTTGCAGAAAAGTCAAGTTGATGTAATTTTCTTAATAAGCTTTCTTAATTTTAAATAATGTGCAAAAACTATTTATTTGATTGAGCTAATCATAGAATTATAGAATCATTTAGGTTAGAAAAGACTTTTAAGATGACTGAGTCCAACCATTAACCTAACACT